GTTAAGCTTTTCTTCGCCCTTTCTCAATTTGTTAAATTTTATTATCGCAGCCAATAACTCGTCGCGAAACCTTGGGTTTGAAAATTGAACCACAATAGAACGCGGACGACTAGAGTTAGAATCGAACTTCGCAATTCTGCTGCAGTGAGATACGTTTTGTCCAGCTGAGGGACAATCAACCACCTCGCTAAGTGTGGCAATAATGGACATTAGGTTCTCATTTTTCCTCTCAGGAACACATTGAATTTCAACATTGCATGAACGAGCATGTTGTTCCATTTGATTAATGCGTTTTTTTAGATCATCAACTGCTAAATTCAAGGAGCGATTTTCAGTTTCAAATTCTTTTATCTTCTCCTTGACGCACACTTGTTCCTTGAGAATATCGTCATATTGATTACTCATGTGGTCTACAGCTCTTGTTAGTTCTTGAACATCATCTTTTATGGGCTTAAGTTCCGTGTAAACAATTTCCTTAAGGGTTTTGGTGATCTGTTGCATAAAAGCACCAATTTCTCTTGCGATGACTTCCTGCACTATATCTCTTACTTGTTTCGTGGTTACCGGTGCATCTGAAACCGCAGCTGATGCTGAATTCGGATCAGGAGAACCAAGAGCTTGTCTCTTAGCGGCTCTCATAGTGACGGGTTTGGCTCCTGTGTTCGTATCATCATCTATTTCATCTTGCTTAGACGAGACCGGCGGCGGTGTGCGTTGAAGAGGCATAGTATATAACTACTCGTAGGTGGCGGTAGTGTGACAGCTACCACGTCCGACTTAGTGCGGTCTCCTGGCCGTGAAAATTATTGTTGCTGCGTAAATCGGAACGTGCATGCGTGAACGCAGCCGCTTCTCTTATAATTATGTTGGCAATACTAGCTATCTGTCAGTTCCGTAGACGCCAACAGGCTTCATACGTCCAATCAGCTGATAAGGAGTTTGAGGTTAACTGTGATTTGTTGTGCCGGTGAAACGTAGAATTCGAATTACATAAATTAACCGTAATTATGGTCGTACCTCAAGGATATTTTGCAGTAAATCCTGCGCCCCAGACTGTGAAAACAATAGTGCTTCTCAATCAACTCACTCACACCAAGAATCAGTTGCACTCGTAAGTAAAAACTGTGTTTTTCCTAAAAAATATTTAAAAGATTTTGCGAGGAGCTATTTACAGTAAGAACTACGTTCCGTTACCTGTGAATTTTGCTAGTGGTACAAGGCAGAGAAATAATCTAAGATTCTATATATACAGACGATAAGAATCGCTTTGCTCGTGGTTCCAAAATAGAATCCTGACCGTAGCAAGGGTTTCAAGGCACAAGACGCGAAACAACTTTGCTGCCGAGCGAAACTCACAACTTTTCATCTTGCTATAGCGAGGAAAATGGTAGATGAAAAAAAAACAGTTGAACAAATCAGTTTTATTCATTCATACACCAAAAATTAGTTATCGTTGTCAATTTATTGTCAACCACAATAAGAATAAAATATCATATCAACGGATATATATTACATAAATAATGTACGACAATTAGTATGTTTTTTTTTTCATCGAAAGAAAAAGTTGCACCACACCAAGTGCGAATTTCAAAAACCTTTTCGACGCTAGCGTGGAAAATTTTGCGCGCAGATTTCTATTGAGAAATAAAGCCTTTCCGAGCTAGTGAGGTGAAAAAGTTATTAGGGTACGTTTACTGCCAATCTTAAACTAGGCGTGGCTTAAAACCTCACTTGAGTTTATGTAAATATCATTATGCAGTTATGTAAATCGGCAGCAATGTAAATACCACTGTGTGAGGTACAGCGACTCTTTTCTACATACTTGCTGCTCGATTCAAGAGAACCAACTCTGTCATATAAAACCTTTTTGAAAGTTTGTTACATATTTTCTGTGCGGATCTATGAGAAAATTGCGTGTTTCGCTTTAGGGAATTGAAGAAATAACTTACCATCGGTCTATATAAGGCACGTGCGTTTGTAATAAATGAAAAAAAGTAATTTTTCTTTCAAAATTTATTTATTTTGTATTATTAATTTATTAATTTATTTTGATTGTATATTTTTATTTAACTTAATAATCATAAACATTTAAACATGTTAATTCACATAGTATTATTCGAAATAGTAACTGCGTAAGAACAAGAGTTGTTTAATGTTGAAGTCAAAGAACTTTTATTTTACGAAAATAGACAATCTTGTTTAATATAATTTGAAGTAATGTACTTTAAATATGTATTAAATATTTTATTCATTTGTTTTCACACTACACACACTTATACCTGTATGTATATATTGCAAAGATTATGTAAGTATTTATTCGATATAAGAGTACACACTGCAATAACACTATACACACTCATGATATAAGTATTTACGTAGTTTATTTTATTTTATTATCTGTTCCGGGACGCATACGTCTGTCACTCTCACTCACTCGGCTAGGGCCTATTGAAAACCAGCGTCACAACCTAGCCTTGGTTGTGACTTTAGCTGAATGGGATCCTTTTGTACACGCCACAGCCGCACACATGTCAGTATAGTATTATGCAACTTGTTGTTGAAATATTTTTACGATGTTCTTTGTGTTATTTCTGTTTTAGTTATATTAGTCTTTGTTTTTGTGTTTTTTTATAATGTGGCGTTACAATAAATGGTTTCTATTTCTATTTCAAAAAGTAATTTCACATATCGCACTTGACAACTAACATAGTCCTGTCTCAAAATTAATAATTTATCTCTTTTGTATTAATAATTATAACAAACTAGTGAAGTAATTTCACAAAAAATAATTGAATATCAATTCAATAAAAATTTAATTAACACAGTGAATAGCGACATCTCTCGCCAGGACTGGTAGCTGTAAAGGTACTAACTGGGTGATAAATCTGTAATAGATTTCTCATAGATGGCGCTAGGACTAAAAAGTCGTTGAAAGACCAAGTACAAAGACACGACGCAAGCACATAGAGAAATTCGTGAGGTCCGTTGGTTCGTTCCGTGGCTTAGTTGGTATAGCGTCTGGCACGGTATGCAAGAAGACGTCGGTTCGAATCCGACCGGATCGAAGGAATTTTTTCTGTGTTTTTTCTGAGCGTTCGATCTTTGCATTAATAAATTATCTCCAAAATTTCGCCATATTTGTATGTCATTCGTAAATGATTTAATTTCAAAGTGACAGGACAACACTGTCGCTTTGAAATGCAATAGGCAATATTAATAAAGCAATTTTGAGATAACACTACGTTTGTTGTCATGTGCGATATGGTATAGTCTGGCGTTGAAGAGTGGTTTTTATGATACCAAGTGGTGGGACAAACAAGTCGTGCGCCTGGTGGTAAGCGACACGCCTGTCCATAACAGTTGCAGTGTCAGTCAGAGCTTTAAATCGCAAAGATCTGAGGGGCATTGACACTGCGCCCGTCACCTTGAGACATAAGTTTGTGCACAATGCTTACATTACTGCTTGGCGTCTGAAAAAGGCAAGATGGCAGTACTTCTCCAGATGAACTCTTTTACAAACAGCAGTGCTGTTTAAGCGCTGAAAATTATTTTACGATATTTTTACATATGATTAATAATAATGACGCACACACTCAACATAGCACCGCACTAGGGAAACCCTGTGTCGCGGGTGCCATGGACTCACACATAGACAAACACAAATTACACCCAAACTCATGAGAGAAATAAATGTAGGCCGTACAAATATTTCTCCCGGCCCGGGAATCGAACCTGGGACCTCTGCGTGGCAGTAATGGTAACCGTTCGGCCACAGATTTGAGATAAATTTTGTTAAAATACACTGTACACGACGTAACCACGGCTATGGGATACAAAGAGAAAGTATTAGTTGAAGCATTGGGAACAACAAGGGCGTTCGGCACCCAAAGCCCGTTTTGATGTTATTGCATCAAAACATATTAAACACTATCTAGTATCTTATGACAAAAACTAATTTCGATCTCCCTTCTAGATGGCGTAAGTTTCATTCATTTAGGAGGTGGCGCTCCGGCCTAGTGGCATAGATTATAATTGTGCGTTTGCCCGCAGTTTGTAAAAACTTATTTTAATGTAAAAAATGTCTGAAACAAGCAACTCCATAATCAACATGGAGCATCTAAGACGATGATACTGTTGATTCATTCTAATCCAGCGAATTTAATGAATGATTAAAAATACGTTTCAATGTAACTTTTAAATAAGACCGATTCACAATTTATTTCCTTAAAAACCAATAATAAAACGAACGCCCCATTAATTTACCGGTTTGAAGCAACAAGGGCGGATAACACAAGGAAAAAAAATATTTTCAAATAGAAAATGAAATTATTTTTCCGAATTTAAATTGCGTATATTTGTTTTTTCATACAAACCGACGTTTCGGGCCCTTTACAGGTCCCATGGTTACGGTTGAATCCGGAAAAATAGTTTCATTTCCTATGCGTAACAATCGCGAAAACCTAAGAACTCGATATTTTCAAACGTTTCTAATTGTTTTAAAATAATAATAACACCTGAATCTTTTGTATGTAAGAGTCATATTATAAATATTAAAAAGATATTATGACATTAAAACTATTTTAAATTCTCTGGAATCTTACTTTTATGTGATACGCCCTTTGTTGCACCTAATGCTTCAATTATAGTTTAAACTATACGTAGCATCATGGGGTATTACTGAAATACATTATATTTTCAAGACTCATAATTTTTATAAAAATTGTCCAATTTAAATAAGAATTACAAATTAGAGTGCTACTTCTTCTCTTTATATTCGAATAATAGAAAGTATACAGCGGTGTCAACAGTACTGCCGATGTTGTGCACTCTGATAACTGGAGCGTGAGGGCGCAAAGAGTGCTTGAGGCCTCGTTTGAGCGGGGTCGACGTGGAATCCAATCTTGCTATGGAATCTGCCGATGTCACTACACGAAAACCTAAATGTTAAGGAATCGTTCGTAAATTAAAATATAACCCCTGTTTTTGGTGGATAAAAGTCGCAAAAAAAGTGCAATTGGAAAGTAAATGAAACTACTAATAAATTGTTAAAAATAAATTGTGAGTTTCTGCGAGATACAGGTATATAAACAATGTAGAAAATAAAATAAAATACATAACTTTGAAACATTAAACGTAGAAGAAAAGAAGCTTGCAAGATAGGCTTTGCCTAGTGCAGGAATCGTAGGCAATACAACCTGTACGTGGTATACGTTACAAAGGAGTTGTTACCTGGTTCTATATCAAAATTGAAAATGTAATGTATCTCCACAATAATATTGTTATTTTAATACTAAAAAAAAACATGTTAAAAGGTCATGGCCCGTCATAAATTGAACACCACAATTTAAATTGCAAAATTGCTTCATACTTGACATTGTCTTTTGAATTTTTGATTTGGTCGAGTATACTTATTTCACAGTTGTTGTTTTGGACGGATGTCACGATACACGATGGCAAACATTATAGTATATGCTATCGACACGATAAGACAAGAATCAGGAAAAAAGAAACAAAACAACAGGTGGTAAGTCAATGACAAAAGGAAGGAGTGTTCTGGTCTTCTGGTAGTCAGAAAAAAGAACGGTGAGGTGGAACTAAATTGTACAGTTCTTGTGCACACTCTTCCAAATATATTAGCCAAAGTTGTCCTCTGTAAAAATATTTGGAATGAACTATGGATGGTGTGGACGGTTTCATCATCTTCTTATCGTATCGATGGTATACAC